CATATCTCTGTAGGTTAAATATACCCAGGTCCTTTAACTGGTCCTCATAGACTTTGTTTCCAGACTCCCCATCACCTTGGTAACCTTCTCTTAACTCACTTTATGATTCTCCTTTTTGAACTGTGATGTCTAGAACTGAACACAATATTACGAGTGGGGTCTGATCAGGACAGAGTAAAGTGGAACAGTTACTTCCTATCATCTGAACTCTATGCTCCCGTCAGTGCACTCCTAGAAAACATTTGTCTGCATCACAATATTGGCTCATTTAATATATGGGCAACAAGGACACCTAGGTCCTTTTCACATGTACACCTGCTAAGCCAGGTCTCCCCCATCCTATATGCCATCCTATACTAGTGCCTTACATTTTTCCTACCCTGATGTAGAACTTTACATTTCTCCTTGTTGAATTCTACCCCTGTTAATTTCAGCCCATTGCTGAAGCCTGTTGAGATCTTTTTGTGTCTTTACTCTCTTCTCTAAAGTATTAGCCATACCCCCCAACACTGTGTAATCTGCAAATCTGTTAAGTATTCCCTCAATACTCTCATCAAAATCGTTGCTAGAAATGATTTCCACTTGAAACATCCCATCGTGCTGAAGTGAAACTATTAAAACACATTATTTGGGACTAGTTATTCAGCCAACTGTAAGTTCAACTAACAGTATTAGCATCAGGCATGTATTTTTTCATTTTACTAAGGACAATATCATGACAGACTTTGTCAAATACTCTTCTGAGATGCAGGTACACTATGTCTATGTCATTTCCCTGATATATTAAGTTAATAACTCTGAAGGAGATAAAGTTGGTCCTGCATGATTTGTTTGCAACTCACTCATATTGTCTTCTTTGAATTGAAACAACCCTACCTAAGTGCTCACAAAAGTGCTGAAAAATAATTTGTTTGGGGACTTGTCTATTACATACATGTCAAGCTGCTAGGTATATAAGTAAGTAAGATAAATTTATTTCGACTTTGTTTTGCTTTTGGAGTCAAAACCCCAACCTGTCCCTCACCAAACAAACAGAAAACTTTTAGCAGCCCTGAGTTTTTGCAAGATGAAATACAAATTGATTAGGTTAAGAGCAATGAGGCTTAAACTACCAATATGACAAACAAGTTAAGCACTGATGCAATGGACTGAAGTGCATATTCACCAGAGCAGCAAGTACATGAAATGCTATTAACTGCCTAAATGTATGCTTAGATATAAATTTTACAGTTTTCAATACTACTGGTCTAGAGGAATATCTTACAGGTTGGCAAGCATTGCTTAACAACTGCAATACGTATATGTTTCAACAACAGCACAGGAGAAAGGGGGAGAAAATTCCATCTTCAAGCTAGAAAAAAATTCTTGACATGGACAATTTAATAAACTTTCAGTGTTTCTTCACAGCTTAGAAACATATAGAAGAATCTCTATGGAGCAGGCTGCCTGCGCTCTTTTGAGTTGGGATAAACAATATCCTTTTCCTGCCTTTTCTAAAAAGTGATAATTTCATCTCTTGTCAGCCATTCTTAACTTTTAAATCTACCCGGAAAAGTCCAGTATCAACAAGAAACAAGACCAGGTAGAAACCATACACAACACATATACACTAAAGCTCAACAAGCCAACAAAACCAATATAATAGTCTGGATATTTAAAAGTACTCTGGAACATACTGTAATGGTCTGGTTACCCACAGGTTGCACACTAAACACACAAACCAACAAAATCCACAAGAAAATATTTGAATTTACAACTTATAACCTGGAAATCTCAACGGCATAACACACATACTGCATTGAGGCCTCTGCACTTGCCTAATGGCTACCTGTCTGCAAAAGAAAGCACAACACAAAACAGTATATACATACAATGCAATCTATGAACTCAACTGCCCTATAAATGAACTATTTTATAACTTGCCTACCAGGCAATGAGACGGGCAATCTTCATCAGTGCTTATACTTGGGATCAGCTACCTTGAATGCAGCACCTAATCTGACTTGGTGACCAGGGTTTGATTGCAGCAATATCTGCCACTGAGCATGCATTTAGAATTAACTGCTGTTTTCCCCTCATCTTCACCTTATACAGCAGATATAGAATATTTTGAAGGAAAAAACAAAAACAAAACCAGCCAGTTACAGCATTCACAACAGCTGGAAATATGTGAAATAGTCCATATAATAATGTTGTTTGAAATTATCTTCTTTGTTCTGAGGAAAGGACAAAATCAGTACATTTGTCTTAAATTTATAACAACACATTGGTTTCAAATACTCAGTACAGCAGTTTTGAGTTCAGAATATTCAGAAAATTCCCAATTTAGGATTATTTTTGGACTCAGAGCTGTTCTAACAACTGGTGCCAATGCCATTTGCAGTAGTGGCTCTTCTTTGAGAAGAGTAAGCCATAATTTAGCCATGTCTAAGTTAAATTACACTAATACATTCTTCATGTAGCTCTTTGAAGGACATTTGGAAATACTAGTCAAAATACTGCAGCTCCATTGCTTTCTGTTCTATAGCAGTCTTCTTTGTGTGTGTGTGTGTGTGTGTGTGTGTGTAGGTGTGTTCCTTTGAGTCACTGTTGACTCCTGGCAACTGCCTGCACAAGTTGCTGCAGTTTTCTTGGCAAGGTTTTTCAGAAGTGATTTGCCACTGCCTTCTTTCTAGGGCTGAGACAGAGTGACTGGCCCAAGGTCACCCAGCTGGCTTTGTGTTTCAGGCAGGACTAGCACTCAGTTTCCCGGTTTCTAACCTGATTCCCTAACCACTACACCAAACTGGCTTTCACAACAGTCTTATACAAGTTACAAAAATATGGTTTGGCTATGACACCTGAAACGTAACCTCTTTCCATATGAGTCTTCTGGTAATTTACAACCTTCCTCAAAGGCCCAGTTAAATGTCCTATCAGCAAGAGTCTAGGTTAACAGAAACAGAGCTTTTTCTGTATCAGCATGTTGGCTGTGGAATTTCCTTCCTATATTGGCCCAATCTTTTTCAAATTCAGGCATGCAGTTAAGGTATTTTAATCTGCTTTAACTGCATGCCTATAAATCTGTTTTTATGAGTCTGATTTAATAGTTTTTAGCATCACCTTGGGAAATGGTTTAGACCAGAAAGGTGGTTTATAAAATAGCAATTTTAATAAATATAATGACTGTCACCATCATGGCATAGTATACAGCAACATGGCCAGCTGTCCACCAAAACAGCTCTAAAATACTCTAACATGGATTTAAATATTTTTTGTTTTTTTAAATGGCAAAAATCTTGCACAATTTCATCTTTGACAAGAGTTCTACAATGAAGATTTTCTAATTCTCACAAGATTTACCAATTTTGCAAGATTTTGGGTGGTGGAAATGCCAAGGTCATTACTGTTTGCAATGACACTTCAAGGCTGAAAAGATTGCTGACTGTTAGAATAGAGTAAGTTTTCAAAGCCAAAACAGAAGAAAGTAATATAAAAACTGAGTTTCTGAATGAGCTTAATGAAGGAAAATTGAGAACCATTTTTCCCATCATGATTTGATTAATGAATTTTTCTTTTTATTATGTTTCTCTTTATTGCTGTTTTGTTAGGAGCTGTTCAGAATCCTTCAAGACTGGGATGGTCTGCAAATATTGTAAATAACTAAATTTAAAAAATGATGCTGCTTATGCCTCTCCAAAAACTTGAGTGTGGCAGAAATTGGGGGAATCTCATGATAAATTGATTATAAGATTAAAACAAGGCAGATATTTAGGTCAAAAGCTGAAGGCAGTATAGGATATCTAGGTAGTATCAACAAGTAATCTGTCTCAGGTTTCTCTTGGGAATCTCTTGAGAATATGTGAATTGGTAGGCCCATTAGTCTTTTGCAGGTATGGAAAATGTAATATAGAATTTCTTACTAAAAGAGGAGATCTTTATATAACGCCAGTCTCTACAAAGTTCAGTGTTTCTAGAACACTTGACTCTTGAAATTTTTGTAGGTTTTAATTTTCACAATTGGTTTATCTGCGGATGGCACATTTTTCATGGTAGTTTGGTTAAACATTTGAGGATCAGCTTATCCATGGATGGGGTTATCCATGAGTATATATGGGTACTTTAAAAATGTATTACTGTATA